CACTCTTTCTACATCTGGCAGCAATGCAATTAGCTATCATTACTGATAGTACTTTTTCACACACCACATGCCAATCAAGCATTGTTGTTTGCTGGCAAGGAGAAACAGACCTTGGTTCAGTTCATGGTTTCAAGAGCCAGCTTTATAATTCTTTCTGTCCCTGGTGTTCCTGCATTCTCTGTCACGGTTCTGTTATAGTGCCATTCAGCCTGGGGGACAACAGGCCAGTGTTGTTATCTTTGAGAACCTGTCTCCATTGTAGACACTGTCTCTACAGAGGGAAAATTGTCCTCCTCTGGATTCACCATTGGTGCAGCTAGACTGCTACTGGCCCTTACACTGTTTTGGGTCTCTCCACATTGCCCTGAAGTCTACTGTGTAGTTATGTGCAGACACTGACACTTTTCAATACTGTGGCAGTCCCGATTATGGAAATATTCCAGCTATAAATCAAGATGTTATGACAGAAAAATACCACTCTTTCTTGTTGCTCACAGTTGCTGTTTATAATAACTGACACTAGAATTAAGTTACTTCTGCTACGCAGAGAAACACTTCCTTACAAAGACTAATTTCTCCCCCTGTTGATAGTTTTTCACAAGCACCTTGTCTGATGCAATGTATGCCAGCGTTCTGCTGTGTTCCATTCTAGGTTGCAGATGCTTTGGGTGTGATTTGATAAATACTCTTGTTTTCTTTGTTGTAAGAACATGGAACATCCATTTTTTTCTGACATGAAGAACAACTCTTCACTCATGTTGCTATCTTTTCTTAAAGAAGTCTGGTGTCAACTGCTTATCATGTTGTTTCTGTTTCTTATAGTCTTTGCTGAAGTTTAATAAAACGTTGAAAAATATGCTGATTGTCCTCCCACATTTTTGCCTGGGCCGTGGACTCATTGACTTGGCCATGAACCAAGCTGTGACTGAAGTATATGCCAGGTTTGGTAAGTAAGAGCCAATAAGTACCAAGTTATATCAGTGCCACATGTCCTGGCCTTGGATGACACGGTTGGAAGTGTTAACTTGGAAAATCAGTGGCTGTTTCTGAAATTCTCCCCTTTCACATCATCAGGTAGATGAGGAGTATGAAAGCTCAACCTCTCTGAAGCAATCACAGCTACTGATGCAGCTCCCAGGCCTCTATGGCGCAACCAGTAGCCTGTATTGGAAATGAACACATTTGTTCAGTGCCAAACTCTGGCATCCTTTTTATCATTTGTTCTAAAGTCCTTAGGTCACAGAATCACAGAATCGCTCGGTTGGAAAAGCCCTCTGAGATCATCACGTCCAACCGCTCCTGTCTACCCCCTAAACCATATCCCTAAGTACCTCGTCTACCCGCTCTTTAAACACATCCAGGGATGGTGACTCCACCACCTCCCTGGGCAGCCTGTTCCAGCCTCTGACGACCCTCTCAGTAAAGAACTTCCTCCTTATCTCTAACCTGAACCTCCCTTGGCACAGCTTGGTGCCGTTTCCCCTTGTTCTATCCCCCATCACCTGGGAGAAGAGACCAGCACCCACCTCTCTACAAGCTCCCTTTAGGTAGTTATAGGTCATTATAGTAGGATATATCATTTCGTTTCATCTGAATATTTTGGTGGCCCTCATGTTAATGCTTAAAGTGGCTGCTCTTCTTCAAATGCGTCCTCTTGGGATATGGCTGTCTTTGATATCAGACAACTTTTTATTAAAAGAATAGTCATATAGCAGAACTCATTGTTTTTATTCAGAAAATGTATGTCTTTCATATAATCCATGTGAATTTCATGTTATGATATCCAAATTGGTGGATATTCAGAGAGCTTATATTTATTTTTGCTCCCATGCAGCAGCTGAGCTTGGAGTGTATTTTCTTAAGAATCTTTATAAGATACTGGAAAATGGAGACTGCCTGATCACGATCAAATAAAGTAGAGATTTCACCCTAAACCATTACTATTATGCCTTTTGTTCTGAGGAGCAGGTTGTGTTTCAGCAGTATTTCACCTTCCTTTCTGGTGCTCTTTCTCCAAAGGCGAGGAGCACATTTCTGATCCTTTTCAGTGGGACTTTGTTGGAAAGAACCTGGTTGCCATGGCTGTTCAAGGGGTTGCATTTTTCATCCTGAATCTCCTTATGCAGCACCGGTGGTTCTCCACAAGATGGTATGTCTGAAAGCTTGTAGTAATGTTCCTTTATTAACAGGGTGAGTGTTATTCAATATGTCCTTCTTTTTCCTTTCTCTGAATTTATTATCTTTCTCTGTCTACTTACCTGATTTCATCTTAATTTGTTGATGTCCTTGCTCAAGAAAGCACCTAAAAATGTGCATTATCTTAACAGAATTTAAGAATATATTCTTAAAGAAATGAGTTTTCTTGAATTAAGACTAGCTTGCTTGGTGTTTTGGTTTGTTAGTTTGGTTTGTTTGGGGTTTTTTTAGGTTAAGACACTATAATAGTGAGATTATAAAATGACTTGGAAAGTTTGTACTGTCCTAAGTACTGGCATGAGGTACTGGCCTGACATCCCAAGACAGGAATCCTAGTCCATTGCATGGGACAGTTGTAGCCTGAACACTATGCAAGCTTCCACTCTTTGCTTTACAAATGTGCCTCTATCTCAATGAAACAGCTGCCTCCCAGGTATGAGAGGATCATTCACTCCTGTTCAAGATTGCCCACAAGAGTAGTAATTGGTACAACTATGAAAATATTGTATTATAGGGATGTCTACTTAAAAGGTCTGTAGAAGGACTATCATTAGCTACTTAAGAGCAAACAGCAAAAGCTGTGGCTGAGAGGCAGGTTATGTCATACCAATGACTGACAAGTTACGCTCTTTTGAGCAAGCCATTTCCTTCCTTTTTAGTATTTAGAGGTGAACTTTCAAAGGTCAGGGATTCTCCGAGCAACAGGAATGCTCCAGCCAGTGTCACATCGTGAAGTTGCAATCCCACTGCTTCCACCAGTCACATTTTTGGTGCTTGATCAGCCATTATTTCACACTGTTATTCTAACTACGTCCCAGGGCAACTCACTGTTTCTGCAGTCAGTCTCTTGGGTTTTTCCAGGTTTGCTGACACTACCGCGTCACCTATTATTGGTGAAGATGAGGATGTTGCAGAAGAAAGAAGAAGGATTATGAATGGAGGGAACAAAACAGATATCTTAGAATTACAAGAGCTGACCAAGGTAATATTTTGAGATGAATGAAACAAGTAAGTCTAGTGTAAATGTATTCTTTCAGCGTATATTTCAGCTGCGGATTCAGGTGGTATTGTATTCAAAATCAACCTTGTTCCTTAGGAAATAGCAAACATTTTAGAAGTCAAGGCTTGACATGTTATTTGGCTTTTTCCTTTTGATTAGAACTCAAACCACGGGGAAGTCCAGCAAGGACCCGCTTAAGGTTTGGGTTTTTTTAACCTCGCATCATCTGAAATGACTTTTCTATTGAGTGTCCATTTCTTCTACAGTGCTGTTTCTTCCATAGATGAGTTTCAATTTCATCATTTGGTTGCTTTCACATTGAGGGCTATAGTTATTACTAATTTATCTTCTTTCCAGAAATGGAAGGCATCTTGAGTTATGCTATCAGAATGCATGCAAGCTTGAGCTACAGAAATACAAAGACTCCACACATTGCTGGGATCTCATGAGTAGAGAACTGGAGTACCATTCTTCAGACTATGTTGCTGTATTGTTCCACTTTGGTTTGATAGGTCAGAGGTATTTTGTCCCAGCAAAGTATCAGGTCTATCTCCTAGTGCTATAGCTATGAAGTAAAAGGCTGCATGTGAAAAAAGGGTATTTTATAGGAGACATTACAAACTTATTTAACTAAATGTCTGACTTTGCAGAAT